TCTCTCTCTCTCTCTCTCTCTCTCCCCCTCTCTCTCTCTCTCTCTCTCTCTCTCTCTCTCTCTCTCTCTCTCTCTCTCTCTCTCTCTCTCATTCTCTTTTTAACTCTACATGTGGCTCAGAATGTAGAACTCTCAGCTTCATCTTCAGTACCATGGCTGCCTGGAAGGCACCATGCTCTCAGTCATAATGATGATGAACTAAATCTCTGAAATTGTAAGGAATTCTGCAATGAAATGCTTTCGTCTATAAGAGTTGCATTGACTGTAGTGTGTCTTCATAGCAACAGAACAGTGATTAAGAAACATGCTTAATCTGTTTAAACATAAAATGAAAGCATGGATGTCAGACTTTTATCCTGATTTTGATTGCTTTGTGAGTCCAAATAAAAAGTTGTTGCATTTAGCAAAAGTAATTCCCACATGTCTGTTATATCAGAACTTAATCTTTAACAAATAGTTCATTTAAATGTGTTGATAAGAACATAAAAATGGTTCAGAACTGTTAACATGCTTTGCCTGTATTTCATATAGAATTTCCTGGGTTTCAGTGAAATATGAAGAGTTGTTAAGAAATATCTTTTCTGAATTTTGAAAAATAATTAGAAAAGCTATAGAACATAAGTGTCAAGTAGGATACAGATAAATAGTTGTAAGTACAAAAATGTGCTTTTGGATAGGAAAGTGGAGAAGGCTAGTTTCATAGTAAAATATATTTTTGTCCTGTATGATAAAATGGATGATTTTTCTAACATGGACAAAGAAAGGGTAAAGATAAAACAAGCTTAAAGTATGCCAAAAAAATTTTGTCCTAGGGGATGAAAGGATGGCTCAGGAGTTTAGAGCATTGACTCTTCTTCCAGTGAGCCAGTGGTAGCTTCCCAGCATAGCTCACAACCATCTGTAACTGTAGTTGTAGAGAATCCGATGCCTTCTTCTGGATTACATGGGTAGCAGGCCCACAAATGGTACCTAGACACACACTTAGGTAAAACACCCATAATAAAAAATGAAAATTCCCTATGAAGGGAGATAGGAGAGCACAGAAGCTATGGAGGGGAAGAGGGCAAAACAGGGACAACTGGAGGAATTAACTGAGAATGGGGAAGGGACAATAGTACAGAGGGAGAAGGAGGAACAAGGAATTCACAACATCAAGGATGTTTGGAAAAGGTCACAGGAAAACATTATTTTCTAAGTTTACTTCAAAATACATTATATTTAAAATATAAAATACATATCTGTGTATGTGTTTAGGCAGATAGGCTGATAGAGACAGAGACAGAAACAGAAATAGAGAGATAAATAATAGATACAAATACACATGCATACCTACCTACATAATATATGTAACCATAAATCAAAAGATGTCTTGAATTCAAAAACCATTAGAGTAGTATAAAAATGATATGTATTTAATAATCATAAGACAAAATGGTAGATTATTGAATCTACTGTAACTTAAAAACAAGTTATTAATCGCAAATATTTGGTATATTAATAGAAATTTAAATTAATTTCTGTTATAACACAGTATATATATGCTTGTACCCTTGCTTAAATTTTTTTTTATGGAAGGCCTCACCCTCCCTTGGGAGCAGAAAGGGTATGGGATAGGTAGAGCGTTAGTTGGGGGAACAGGGGAGGAGAGGAGGGAAAGGGACCTAGGATTGACATGTAAAATAATTTTCTTTCTAATTAAAATAAAAAAGAAAAATCTAAAAACATGATACGTATTTATATTTTCAAGATCTCCATTATCAAAACTGACTAAAGTATTTGACATTCTTAGCCCAAAACTCTCACTAGTTCTTCTTAATTTAAGATCTTCTTTTCTTGAAAACATCATGATTTTACAAAATAATTACTATTACTAGACAACCTATAAAGTGAAACTGCATGAGCCAGCTATATGACAAGTCAACTTTATACACTAAGTCAAGTGATGAATTAATATTTAAAATTTGTTTTAAAATGCCTTTCATCAGTGAATCCTGGGCAGGAAGAACTAACTAAACTAGAGTCCTAGCCAAGTGATGTCATCAATGGAAAAAAGCTGCTTTGATCATTGAAGCTTCTTTTCATTCAGGATGGAGACTCTGTCAAGTGCTGTCAACTACACCTGTGCTAAAATATCCTTTAGGACATGAGCTCTTGGGTTTGTATTCACAACCGCAAATTATGCAATGATCTTTTCATAGCAAACACATGTGAACTTAAAAGTTGAGAGCTAAGCTGCTTCACCTGTTCTCACAACTGAACACACCATATAATACAATACCACCCTGGACAACAGATATACTAACCCCTATTCTGTCTCACTATACAGCTTCATTCTCTTCATATTTATATTTTATGCTGTATGAGGTAATTGGGGTTTGCCTTGAAATATTTTTCTAAATGATTGAAGTAATTTTAACCTTGATTTTTAATATACTTCAAATGAGAATGTTGATAGTAGAAGTTTTCATTAATCATCCCTGTCATAAAGACTGCTTATTCAAATCTTCTACACAAGGCAACTTACATATTTGTTCATGAGCCATGGCCTTTCATATTTGACTCAGAATAAAGTATATCTTCAAGGTAAGCATTCTTACTTTGCAATGAAATGCTATAGTAACTGCAATATAAAAGTCACTCAAGTGTATGGAATCTTCCTCTATCATTCCTGGCAATTACAGGTTTTAAGTGTGAAGAACATCAATAGATAATCTTTATTTCCATCTCTTTGTGTGCCTAGCTCACTTCTAAATTTCTAAATATATCCACATACTCCACATTAACCAAATTAACTCTAGCAGAGCTTTCAGTGTTGTTAATCAAGTGCCTGGGCTTTTGCCTGGTGGGCTTTATTTCCTTTACCACAGCATGAGCAGGATTAGTGTAACATATACAAGTAAAAAATTCTGTTGTTCAGTTAATTTTGAAAACAACTAAAATTAATTTAAAGTGTGGTCTTGAAAGAGCTTCCTCTAATCCAATACTGTGTGACTCGATGCATTTAATGGCATTGACCTTTAACTTGTGTGCTTTTGTTTCTATTTGTACAAGATATATGTGGGTGAAGGGCTGGGTATATGGCTCCATGGCTACAAGTACCCTGGTCCAGGAGCTCACAACTGTATGTAATTCCAGCTCTAATGGAATCTGATGCCCTCTTATGACCTTAGGAGGCTCCCTCATGTATATGGCTTGCATGCATGTGTGCTTGCCCCCCTCCACACACACACAACACATTCTAAAACTAGAATAGTGCAAATTTAAGTTCACAAGTCCAAAAGCATGAAATTGATGAATGTGAGAAAGATACGGAAAAATGTGCCTATGTATTCTACAAGTTTAAAGCTCTGAAACATATTATTCAGGTTTTCTTTCTGAAAATAGAGGGAAAACCTAAATAGAACCTTCAAACAGAGCAGCTGATTAAAGAAAAAATCATTAATCTAAATACAAAACTTATAGCAATTAGAAAATGCATGCTGTGCCACTCTGCTATACATTAGTTAAACCTCTCTCAACTCTGGTTTCCTTGTTGGACAGCCCAAAACACTAGGCATAGTGTTTTGCAGAGGAAACAATGGCCAAGACCAAATTTACTCTGGTGTACTACTGTGCTCTATATGAGTTATTTATTAGTAGAACACTAGATGTATATACACTGTGAGAAAAAATATGTATCTTATTCATATTTTTTTCATGAGCTTTTGATATTCTTCTCACTGATCCAAGGCTTGGAAATGGTTAGTGGGGAGTTTGGACGGGACTGGGAGTACTTTCGGAGAGTAAACTGTGATCAGAATATATTGTATGGGAAAAATTTTATTTTCAAAAAATAAGACAAGAGGATTTAAGCTTCGGTTGATATCAAAATTAATTTATTTGGGCACATTTCTTCTAGTCTATATCAAATCAAGATTAAAGTAAGATCTCAGAATAAAGGCTCTTTCATTTTCATTTTTTCCATTTTCATATTTAGTCAGGCAAACTGTTCATATTACACAAAACAATTGTGATTCCGAATGCAGCTAGTGACAGCCCATTGTCCCTCACCAACCTGCAGTGGGACATTTATCATGATGATTAGCAGTTTCAGGTACTTTCAGAACCAGCAACACTTGTCTGAGACTTCATCTGGAATTTGAGTTTATTTAACCAAATAATATCACTAAATGTCACTGAATAAAAGGTACCATTATGTCCAACTATTGTATAAAACAGCAAGAAGAAATGATAAATGTTTCCATAGCTACAAGTCTCAAAGTAAAAGAGCATGCAGAGATGTAATTCGGCACATGGATGGCTCAGGTGCTGTGGACATTATAAATTCTTATCTCTAAAAACAAGTATGTTAAATTACAGATGGTTGTGAGATATTCAGGACAACAGTGTCTTTACCAGCAGATTCAAGAAAGTGTACAGAAGACAGGAGTGCTGCAGATCACACATAAACATGGTGCTTGTCTCACTTCCTGACTGACAGTTGGGGAAATAGATCAATCTGTAAAGTGCTTGCCATGTGTCTGTGAGGTCTTGACTTTGAACCCCAGGACCCACATACCAAAATCTGGACACAGTAGTACCTTTTCACAGTCCCAGCACTAGGTATGTGAAGAAGCGTAGACTCCAGTACTTGCTGGTTAACCAACAAAGCTTTCTTGGAGATTCCCAATTCAATGGCAATCTATTTCTCAAGAAAAAAGAAAACTCAAGATAAAAACAAATGAAAAATTCATGAGAAAACATCCAAGAGTGGTCTTTTGATTCTACACACAGAGAGACATACTATATATTCAAGTATGTGCACACATGTGCTTGTGTGCGCGTGCGCGCGCACACACACATACACACACACACACTCACACACACACACACTCACACACACACACACACACACACACAAACACACACACATCTGAATAATAAACGTTGTAGAACATTATTTTAACATCTGCTACATTTGTTTATGCTGTGGAACATTTGTTTAAAGATGCAAGGATGTGTTGTATTCTTTTATATTGCAATTGTTTAACTATGTGAAGCAGCATATTGTGTTGGTCTAACACAGCTGATAGGTCTAATAAATAAAGAGCTAAATGGCCAATAGCTAGGCAGGAGAAAGGATAGAAGTTGCTGGCAGGCAGAGAGAAAATAGAAAGAGAAAAGTAAAGATAGGGAAGCAAGAAAGATAAGAGGAATTAGAAAAGAAAGAGGAGGACTCCAAGGGCCAGCTATCCAGCTACATGGAAAGCCACTGAGTAAGAAGTAAATAAATACAGAAATGGAGAAATGTAAAAGCCCAGAGGCAAAAGGTAGATAGGATAATATAAGAAAAGTTGGCTAGAAATAATCTAAACTAAGACTGGGCATTGAAAAGTAATAATAAGCCTCCATGTGTGATTTATTTTGGGAGAAGACTGACATCCCCCACCCCCAAAAAGAAGTAAACAAAAGGCCAACAACAAATAAATGACTCAGAAATTAAATGCTGAAGTTAACCTGAATCAGGTGAAAACGTACAAAAGGAAGAAGTCAAAGGTTCTCGGATTTGAATATTATTGCTGATATAATGAGGTTCCCAGGAGCACAGAGACATCATATGTGTAGCTTCTCCTAAGAACAAACTACTGGTTCCACCTATTTGGAGATCCGGGGTTTTTCTCTCTAACATTGACCTACTGTAATTTCGAAAAGTACAAGAGTCAGGTACTGTTCCACTTTGAAGTGGTGTTGTCGGATACAAGCTTTCAGGTTACCATAATGAAAAGTAAACATGTGAGTGAGCTGCAGTGTGTATGCAGATCCTTACAGTCATGGGGCCTAGGGGGTCCACCTGTATTGCTACAGAATTTGACCAGCCTATTACAGATTAGTTTTTCTTTGAAATCATTTGTCAGAAGTTTTCCTTTTGATTTAACTGAGGATATCATGGGTTCATGTTCTGAAGATCTGAAGATGAACATTACTTGCAGCCAGCCAAGGAGGGAGGACAGATGGCCGTCTTCCTACATGTGTGCAAGAACGCTCACTCACTCCACACACTCACCACCTCCTTCTGGAAAGAGAACTGACTCCTGAAAGCTGCTCTCTAACCCCGCATGCATGCTGTGGCACATGTGTGCCATTCATGCACGCAGGAAATAAAATAAAATAAAATAAAACAAAATTCCAAAGCTCTCAGACAGTAACAAAAAATAGACCACATGTAATTGTTTAAATACTTAGAAATACATGCATTTGGAACTGCATCACAGAGAAATGGCAGGAAATTATTCTTAGGTTTTCTGGAAAATCTAATGCCTGAGGAAAGTTCTGTTAAGACATATCAGGAGAAAAACACAAGGAAACTAAATTCTGTTGAAATTAAGTGTAGGTAGTTGTCTGTGGATAGAGTAATATAAATGAAAATGTTACAAAGGACTCTGAGAAAGCCAGAATTATCATCTAAGCAATACCACGAATCAACACTGGAACTCCTCAGAGAACAAGGACAGACAGAAGAACTGTGAGATGTGCCTCACATGTCTTGGCCAGACCTCTCCTTTCTGGAGAGAACACTGTTCCCTTGAGGGTAAATTCACCCAGATTCTACAACAATAGACTTCAAAGGGCAGACAGTAGTGCTTTAATAAGGGAAACTGCAGGCTTGCTTTAGATACTGGACAAAGTACATAAAAATACAATCACAAAATTTATGAAGTGAAGACAAGTGTTAGAAGTAACCAAACAGGACAAAACTGCCCTTAACACACCATAAAAACAAGGAAAAACTGGATCACCAAAATAACTACAAACATAAAATTTAAAAAATAACAGTAAAGACATTTTGAAATGGTTCAAAACTCACTTTTAATTAAAAATATCAACAATAACCTTGAGATATAATTTAGATCCCATATCATGATAGAATTTGGGCACTAAAGGTATATGGCAGTTCATTCTAAAGGTCGTGTTTGAAATATATTCTGTGGAAACTGAGAAACAACACAACATACACTTTTATTTCTGTTGTTTTATAAATAGAGTTACTGAATTAGAAGATAAAAACCAAGTAACTGATTCAATGATAAAACAAAGAAGTAAATATATGAGCATTTGTACATGGTATATTTTAGAAACAAATACTAAAATTACCCACAGATTTTAAGTATAACATTAGAGATTACATAGTGATTTCTGATAACAATGAACAATTTTTATTAAAATTATAAGAAGCAATTATAATATATACTTTTAAACATGCCATGTATCCCATGTCTATAATGTACAAAATGCTAAGAATTAATTTATATTTCTAAAAGTCAGAAAGTTAATACAACTGTTGGGAACCATAGGGAAGGGGTGTAGGAAGAACTTTGGTTCCTGGTAAAATTGGTTCTTTGTGTGTTTTTGATATATGAGTTCCTGTTCTAGGCACATAGCATTGTTCCTCATGGACATTAAAACAAAAGATAAAATTCTGGAGGATAAAGGATGGGAAAATAGATTGATAGATAAAATTTTAAGGAACAAGACTTTCAAATGGCTTGCCATTACATCCATTGCAAAAAAATCATCACTACAATATGTTCATATTTCATCAGAGAACAGGGATTAAATGTAAAGCTCTATTTTAAAAAAAAGCTGGTTGTCCTATTAGAATCTCTGAATGCTTAGAAAGGCAAATTATCATGAATTAGCAACAGTCTGGCTACATAGTGAGTTTTAAACCAGTTTTCATTAGAGAGTGGGACCCTAATTTAACAAAACAAAAAGTAATCAGCAGGTTTGTGATGTTCCATGCCTTTAATCCCAGAATGCATAAGACAGAGGCAGGTGGATCTCTATGAGTTCAAGATTAGCCTGGTCTACAGAGTGAATTCCAGGATGACCTGGGATGTTATACAGAGAAACTGCATCTTGAAAAAACAAAACAACCCCTCCAAAACAACTTATGAATCAGTTGAAAACTTGGACTGTGAAAAATTAACTAATAAATCAGTTGAAAGCCAAGATTGTGAAAAAATCAACTAATAAATCAATTTGAAACTAAGAATGCATTTATTTAATTTTCAAATTTTAAATTATTTTTATGTAGGATGGAGAGTAAGCGGCATCAAAATATATCTTCATATTTAAGTGTCATCTTATTTTTTCTAATGAAGTTTTATATAGATACCATATTTTAATAGGATTCATTCAGCTCAATTTTGTATGTATACTATGGTTATTGGGCATTTGTATAGACATAAATTTCAAGACATGTGTCACAACTAAACAAAAGATTGCTGTAAATAATACTTTCCTTATTGAAATGGGTAATCTGCCTTTTTCAAACTAGATGTAATTTGTTCAGTGAGAAGAACAACAGCTTCACTAAGATACTGTTTCACAAACAAGCCAGTCACAGTGACAACACCTTCAAGTGAGCTTAGTCAGTTCTGGTGATTTCACAGTGTAGGTGATGCTCTAATGTCATATACAAAAACTAAAATTTTGGTACGATGAAAACTTCTTGTCTTCCAATACCTATCCACTTCGATCAAAAGAGCAACACTACAAATGCTTTCTGTTTACTTCAGGTCAGGACATGCTCTTGTTTCCACAAGAATACTACTTTAACCCTTTGCCTCAGTCCCTTGTCTTCATTTTTAAATAACCTCATAATAGCTTAGGAACATATTAATGGATTATTTATAGACTGAATTCACAATCCATGGACATGACAAAATTATTGCAACAATGTTCATTACTATTCCAACCTTCTATCTGTGGGTCTGTGTTCTATTATGACAGAAGCCATTGCAATTCTTCCTGTTATATGCCTTTCCTCATAACTTGTGTGTAATCTAAATACCTAGAAATGGAATGGTTGTTACTAAATGTATGTTGGTATTATGTTTTAATTAATAGCAGCACGCGGGTTTTCAAAAATTTTGTCATCATTTACCTTCTCATTAGAGTTTGAACCTTACCTTTCCTGCTACTTTTCTCTTAAAATTAGTCTATGATCAAACATTTACACATTACCAATCTGATAAAAAATGAATACACCCATAGAGAGTTACATTCATCTTATGATGCATATCACTAACAGTTGTTTTTATTTCATTACATTTTCTGTTTATGTGTATTATCTATGTTTTATTAGTTTATGGCATTTCTGTTTAATGATTTTTAAGAACTCTCCATATAGTGAGAATTTCTTGATTTTCTATCAATGAGAGTTATAAATAAATATTCAATATTTCTTTGTTTTATAAATTAAAACTTTATATAGCAGCATTTTATACCCTATTTTAAAATCTTTTGTTTCATCTCTCTGTCTCTGTCTCTGTCTCTGTCTCTGTCTCTATAGTAGGAAATTACCAATACGGAGTCAGGTAGAAATATAAGGGTATTTAATAGGGAAAAGCCTTACTTACAGAGCGAACCAGCCAGCCGGTGGTAGTCTATACAGCAAGAAGCAAAGAGAAACCGAAACCGAAACGCAGTCCCCTG